AACATGGTTGAAGTTGCAAGCGTCGGGCGCAAAAGAATTGAAATGCGAGAAACCGTCTCCAATCGGTATACTGTATCCAGGGCATGCGCTGGCCGTCGACAATCATAGAAGGGGCTAGGAGACGCTACACTGTCTTCGTTTGCGTGTACAAATGGCATATCGTTGTTCATTGGGACATGGTCGGAATACAACGTAACGTTAGAGGCTGCCCGGCTGGGGCATCTGCCCAACGAGCCGCGTTCTTGACCATGCTGCACCTCAAAACTTGCTGCTGAACACTCAAGCATTGTGCCTCTTCCAAATGATGGTAGCCCTGCGGCACGACGCATGGCTACGCGACAACTTTGTTCCGGCATGTGCCGTGTACACGCCACGTCTCCCGCTCGGCTAAGCCTCTCGGCGGCCGGCTCGTCGTAGCACCTTGGAATCGCTAGTCCACCATCATATCCAGTTTAGTGTAAATTATATCTAAATAGACTCACTTCAACAAAATTAGAGGCTGCCACGAATGGTATCTTCGGTGTGAACGGACGTTTGCTGCTGCCTGCTTGTGCCTCTGTATCAATAATCAATCAATCAATCAATCAAACGTGTTCGCGTTGAAACCAAATGAGCAAAAACTAACTCAAAGACTTCGCATACGTAGTGCTACGCCTGAATGCGTGGGAGTTGGCACCAGCACTTGGTCGTTGGGAGTGAGCTGCGCACGGAGAGATCCATCCTCTGTATCAATAATACACAACAAATGGATCGACCATGCACGACCCAGATGCAACTGGTCGATCATGCACGACACCCGTCTGCAGCTGACCCGGCTACGTGTATGTTACTAGTGTACGCGCGGCAGACAACCACACGCCATTAGTTTTGGAGAGATGTATTCAACCAAAGATGACTTGTCCCATCAACGATATTCAGACAATATGGGCAAGCATGACACGATGCGTCAGTCGGCTGTGTTGTGTGTTGAGCGCTTGGGCAGCGCTGCAGCGGAACATCCTTTGTGGCTGATGACCCGTCGAGCTTTCTTGTTAAGGGCGCTTGGCGCGAAATGCATGCAATCTTGGCTATCGAGCCAATGATCTCGACGCACACATGGACACGCCCGTCGATGTACAAAGGGGGTCGCAGTAGGACTGAAACGATGGCAGGCACGGGGTTCGCACCACTGTAGACGGTTGGGCGCGGCTTGTTGGCGAGACTGCGGCTCTCTTGATGTTATTTGGGCACCCGAGATTGTAGCTCTTATGGTAGAACGCGCCGTCGTCGTGGGTGCGAGCCAGTAGTTGAGGCGAGCAGACGCAGTACCCGACGTTATGAAAGCCGATTTTGCACTTGAGGCTCTGCAACACAAGAGTATACTTGCATGCGAGGTTGATTCAAAACTGCATTTGTCTCGGTTCCAGAACGCGTCGCCAACGCCGCGGCCATTTGCTAGCGTTGGATACGCGCGACGCCACTATTATGGACGCCCTTCTTGCGCTGAGGGGAGGAAAGTGCAATGAAGGCGCTTCCGCCTTTGTTGGGTCACTTTCAAGTACAGCGGAGGCAGTTTGCCGCGCAAGATGGAGAGAGGAAAGGGTGTTGTAGTTGAACTGAGTTATGTTACATGCAAGTATAAAGATATGGTGGACTTCCTAATGCGCTCGTGAGGCTTGGCCGGTGCGTCAGCGAGGAGCGTTAGTGGTCGTGATTCGAGATTGTGCGAGGGACCAGGTAGTGTGCACACCAAGGGTCATCGCGGAGAGCGGCCAGCGACGCGTCAAGAGATGGCACCGCAGCGCGACGAGCCAAGTGCCGGACGTGCAGTCTTGCGATAGTAGCTGCCCGGATCACGAGCGCGGCAGCGGCAAGTTGCGGCAGCGTCGAGCGGAAGACACGGTTGTTGCGTTCGAGCCAAAGACAATACCAGACGAGAGAGCAAGGGTGTTATGCGGCGGACGGAGCGGAAACGATCGTTTCGTGAGCGGAGTTGCGCGACTACTCTCGTGTTCGATGTCGACTCTTGAGGAGCAACCCGCCGCTTCTTCCATGAGGCTGGGGCAGTCAGGCCACACGCACCCTTTTCGTGCCAGAGCATGAGAGCATTCCTGCGTATCAAAACCAACCAAAAGCAGAAGATCAGAAGCACAAGTGGTCACGAGCGCGCCCGCTCGAGCCACAGTACATAAAGGAGATGCCCGACGAGAGACGAACCCGCCTCGCCCACCACTGACATGGCGGAGACACGGCTGTTGCCCCAAGTCGTTGGGTCTTGCAAGAGGAAGCAAGAATTTCGGACGCCGCGACCGCATCGCGCCAAGAGAGAGGGCCGCAGCACCGGCTGGATGTACCGGTTACTAGTACATATTTATACTAGCACGAGTACTAGTACGTTTTTCTAGTACGCGACGATTGTCTTGGCCTACGCCGCTGACACCGCACGGCGAGCTGCACATGAGCGCGGGCGTCTTGGACTAGGTATAACGAGAAGCTGCTGGCCCTGAGTTGTCGCTAAGGATTGGACAAGTCTGCGATCGCGTTGTGGTAAACGTTCAGAATCTATCGGAGGTCTGTCACGGCGCGATCGACTAAGTGGTGATAAGCGCATCGAGAGGCATCGAGCCTCGAGGAAGAACGGCCTTGGAACCTTCTGAAAATCAAAACCATCAGTTGGCAATCCCAGTTGTTACAGGAATCGAGCGAGGTCGCCATTTGCCAAATGGCGACCTCGCTCGATTCCTGTAACAACTGGATTTGCCAACTGATCTTGCAGTGTTGCGGGTGACTTATGCAATGGGCTACGTAAACCGTAACACTGTCTTGCCAAAGTTATGGCAAGACAGAGCATGCGATCATAGCATGCGATAACGAATATGTACGAGATGACAACTATCAATAATGTGAATCCACGCCTCACGAGCGCATTAGAAAGTCCACAATATATTTATTATTGCATGTAATATAACGCAGTTCAACAACAACAACAACAAGCGCAACTAGAATTTTAAGGACTTGTTCAATGCTGTACAGGTACCACTAGCACACATATGTGTACTATTAATAGTGGGTGGGAAAAGTGCGTCGACGATAACGACATTTGTGGTGCACGCGATCACAAGCGCACAGATGTATACGTATGTGCATGCGTGACCACGCGGCAAATCTTCTTCAAGTGAGCAATCAACGCACGCGTGTGGGCGCCACATGGGTGCGATGCCACGCGCCCAACGATCGGCTTTGGCTCGTTTATGCGCGTGACAAAAGCAACCCAAATGACGCAAACGACGTCTCTATAAATCCACAACTCGCCGCATGTTGAGTCATTTGCGGGGGACGTATCGACACACCTTTCGAGTCCGAATGATGCAGTTTCCTTTCCTCTGCTTTTAACCGGCTGGGTGTTGGACTCGATTCATGGAAATGTATGAGCTAAAAAGACCTCGACCACCGATTTCGTCGCACCGTGTAAATGTGTACGTGTAATCAGAGACGTTGTAATCTGGCTCGGCCGTGGTACGTGGCCGCCGCAACGTGCAACTCACACAAAATCAGATTTGGTGCGGGGTAGGGCTGATAGGCGTACCACGCGTTTCAAATCCGGATGTTTTCAAAAGGTATCTTTCAACCACAACTTCTTGTCAATTCTTCTTCTCGGCTTTTTCTCTCGTATAGTTGAACATCCAGTACTCAAATGGAGCCGTCTCAAGTTATTTGCACGCAGGAACTAGGCATGACCTGTACACGGGATCAGACGCGAGGCGTACCGTTGCGGAGGGTCCAGATTTTCCAACATTTGTATGCATGGATGTACCTTCTCACGACAAAAAATGCTCAACTCGTACTTTTCATAACCTCCCCATCCTGTCGTTTCCACGACGCAGCTGCCAATGCATCAGATCACCCTTATCTTGTTGATCCCGGTAAGGACGCGCAAAAGACACTCATGGGTTTCTCGGGTACCACCAAATCGGTCCTATATCACCGCGAGCTATCGCCGCGTTTATAGCAACAATCTCTATGCTATCGAGTCGATGCGCTGGACAAGTGGCGTCGCCATTTGTGTTGGATAGTGTATCAAGGTGTTACACTGTTTCCCTCCGCTCCGTGGTCGTACCACGGGTTTAGGTAAACATAGCAGCGACCTCTACGCCCGATAACAAACAGACACATCGATCTGTCAATTACGTATTACCAACACGCGTTCCGCAACTTCACCCACGCGTGGGTAAATTGTGGGACGTCCGTATTAAGTGTGGGCGCGTTTGCTCACCTCATTCTTTCATTTGCAGTCTCTGACGCATATACCACCTCCATCGGCATGAAGCTCCTCTCGCTTTCCACGCTTGCACTTGCAGTCTTTGCCGTCGCGTCGGCCCAGCCCACGACACCGACCAATGTCTCGGTGCCCGAAGCCGGTGTCGCGTCGGACATCCCCGTCATCGTGCAGCTTGGCAAAGACGCCGTTCTCGATATCACCAACCTCATCAACGACTTTAAGGCCATCAAGGCCAGCGGCTTCACGCGCGACCTCGTCCAGCAAGCGCTCGGCCACTTGCAGAGCGCGATTGGCCACGGTGTCCGTGACGTCGGCCAGGCCAAGACGATCCTTGACAACATCAAGAACCTGCTCCAGAACGGCGGCACGCCCGCGGACGCGGCCGAGATTTCAAGTGCGCTTCAAAAGATCGTGCAGCTTTACTTCCCGACCAAGATGCCGACCAACTCGACGATCGCCGACGACATCCAAAAGGCGTACGCCATGGGCGCCGAGCTCCGTGCGGACTTTGAAGCGATCGTCAAGGACCTCCAGCGCATCGCGGCCGGCGGCTTGACGCCCGAGCTCACGCAGTCGATCCTTGGCCACCTCCAGACGGCATGGAGCCACGGCCTCAACAACCTCAAGGACGGCAAGAAGATCGTCGACGACATCAAGGCGATCGTGCAGGGCGGCGGCGTCGACATCAAGGACGGTGTCGCCATCACGAACGCGATCCAGTCGGTGCTCCAGCAGTTCCTTTTGACGCTCGACCCGAACCCGAAGGTCTGCATCCGCGACGGTGTCGGCCGCGGCTTTGGCACGCCCGTCGTCAACCAGTGCTTGGAAGGCGAGGAGGCCTACGGTGCGCTCTGCTACCCCAAGTGCAAGGAAGGCTATGAAAAGGTGGGTTGCTGCCTCTGCCGCAAGAAGGGCTGCAGCGGCGCCGAGGGTGTCACCGATGTTGGCGCCTCGTGCACCAAGCCCAAGGCGTACGGCCGTGGCGCCGGCTACACGCTCTGGAACCAAGACAAGTGCAATGCTGAAAACAACGGCCAGTGCGAGAAGAACGGCCTCATGTGGTACCCCAAGTGCAAGCCGGGCTACCACAACTTTGGCTGCTGCATTTGCACGCCCGACTGCCCCGCGGGCACGACGGACGACGGCGCGTTCTGCCGCAAGGACCACTATGGCCGTGGTGTCGGTGTCTCGCGCCTTGGTTGCGACAAGGGCCTCGAGAAGAGCGGTCTCTTTTGCTACAAGCCGTGCGCGCCCGGCTACAAGGGCGTCGGTCCCATGTGCTGGCCCCAGTGCCCGCCGTCGATTCCGTCCAACTGCGGCCTCTTCTGCACGTCGACGAGCGCCACGTGTGCCTCGAGTGCGATCGAGATCATTGGGTCTGTCGCCAAGATCGCGTTGAGTGCTGTCAACAACGATACGGCCGGCGCCATCTCGACGGGTATTCAGGCAGGCGCGAAGGTCATCACGCTCGAGAAGTGCCCCAAGCCCTAAGCGGCCATCACGTCGAACGAAGAGTGGTGTTTCAGATTTTCGTCAAGATTTTTTGAGAGCTCAACTAATCATGTGATACATACAGTCATGCCTTGCATGTTCTAAATCCATTCTACATCCAGCAGACTCGTTTGTCCAAGCTTGTTGGTGTCCTAGCACACGAGGCACTCGGGTAACCAACGGGAATGGAGACCATCGACAAATCTTGTCGACAAGAGCAGCCGCTGAGACTGGCGTTTGATAGCTCGTTTGATACAAACTGAGTGATTGTATCAAGCCACCGTTGTACAATACAATTGTATGGACCCGTGGGAGACGTTGATCGAGATGACTTTTCTCAATGGACGACTTTTAACTTGATGTTTCCAAGCGTAAAGGTGGCACGTTGTAGACTCCGGCCGCACACACAGACGTGGGCGTCGACCAATGCTCTAGCATGCCCCGACAACGCTACAGGTAAGAGACGATCGCCCACCGCTTTCCCGGCAACATCAAATGTTACGTCGCATCGCTGTGGTAGAGCCTCCGATGTCCAGATGATCACAGGTTGCTGCCACGAAAGCAGTGCTGCCGTTGGCAATTGCGATGTTACGCTCAACCACGCGACGGTCAGACTGCTACCGACGTGTTCACACGTACAACCAGTCGGGTTGTCCGCTACGTTGCCCACATGTCCATGACGCGCGGACCGGTATAACTTCACTTGAGGCATAGATTGCAGCACGGTGGATTCGAGCTCGCTAAACACTGGAACCAACGTTCGGCGCATTGCCAAGCCTTGATCTTGCGAAGCCTCTGTCGATCGTACTGTCAGCGTCTTCATCGTTCCGTAGCAGCGCATCATGAATCAGATCAGGGTATTTATCGTATTCCTGAGTTTCATACCGCATTGACTTAGAGGGATCTGCAGTACGAGCACGTAGTCCTGGGCTCTGGCCTACACGGCACTACATAGTCGTTCCAATCAAGAGAGACCGCGAGCGCTCGAGCGATCATGATTTGTCACACACAGCCACAAATCAACTGGCTCTTTTCGGAAGAGTAGCGCTCGCCAGCTTTCTAGCCCACCGGTACCCAAAACGCCTCGCTGATCTTTTCTTGGTGCATTTAGGCGTTTCGATGTGTGGCAGTTTTAACGAACGGCAGCTCGGCGTATGGGCTGCAGCGGCTATCAGTCTCGTTGCCGGGGCCGTTGACGATGCAGGTGGTCGTTGTCTTGCCCTCTTGAGAAACATGTGTCCCAATCGATTGCGCTGTTCGACGAAGCATGACGGTTTCTGCGCCGCGAGGGTCGAGCGCTTGCAGTGGCCCATCAATTTCTCTGGGAGGGGCCTGTGTCACCTGGAGGTGCGGCTGGCGAGGCCACCGACCCGCCACCCGAGGCCCATTTCTACGCGCGGGTCGCCTCAGAACCCGAGCCACCGATTTTCAGACCCGGCGGCTTTTGTAACAGATACATGGGTGACCAGTATCAAGTTCACGACAGCCCTCCTTGTTGATACTCGTTCCATTCCGGAACGAGTAGTTGATAACCCTTCGTAGCGGACTGCCTGCGCCAATACCGGTGTGGAGTAAAAACAAACAGAAGATGAATGACAAAAATGCTCATGTTTGTTGAAGTAAGCTATTGTCTTTGCTTTGAAAGATTAGGGTCGCGGTCTCCCAGTACTCCTCACTTCCAAATACATCGAGCACATCACACATGCAAAATACTACCAAGCACAACTTCGAGAAGCACAACGACGCCCCCGAGCTTGTTGCTGCTGACCAACGAACGCCCAAGACCCTGTCGTCGAGCGAAGCATCACTGGATCAAGACGCGACTTCGATCGACGCTCCACAGGCGACACCCAAGATGCTCACATGCCTCCCCCCGCGTTCATGATTGCCTTCGATTCAATCAACGTCCATGGCGAAGGGGTCTTGGGCCGCAGTGTCCTTGGAGGTGTCACTCACGACGGGACCTTTGACGGTGCACCTGTGAAAATCCTTCGGATCGAATCGCCGACACCCGAGTCGGTTCTCAAGGTCAACCGAGCCGTGCGCCACCTGATTGACGTGTATCATCCCAACATTGCCCAGTTTTACGGCGTGAGCTGGGAGACGGGCACACCGCTGTGCGTTGTCACGGAGCACGCACCTCATGGGACGCTCGCGATGCTACTGGCGTCCGACACGGACCTGGGCCTCGTCCGTATCGTGTGCCTTCTACTGGACGTGGCGAGGGGTATGCTGTACCTGCATTCGCAACCGACGCCGCTCCTTCATCGCGATTTGCGCGCCGCCAACATCCACCTCATGTATGTACCCGCCGAGACGCAGGCCATGAGATCTGATATGTGTCTTTTGTCTCTATTAGGCACAATTTCAAGGCCAAGGTGGCCAATTTCGAACTCTGCGGCAAACTCGGGCTCGATACGTCACTCGTGGGGACGCCAGCGTGGACCGCTCCCGAGATGTTGCGCGGCGAGAAGGACTATACGGAGAAGATCGATGTCTACTCGTTCAGCATGCGTACGTTGCAATCTGTGAGATGTGTACCCTGGGACTCATGAGCGGTTGCAATCTGTGTAGTGATGCTCGAGATCTTGAACCAAAGAGCGCCGTACTCGGAGGCTGCATTGCCGCCGCGCGAGCTCTTGCACAAAGTAGCGCACGAAGCCTACCGACCGAGCCTTCTCGAGCGGGATTTGTGGCCGATTAAGCTCGTGGAACTCATGGAAGCGTGCTGGCAACACGACCCTGCGGATCGTCCCGCGTTTGCTGACGTGGTTGCGATTCTTGACAGTATTCTTTCGGAAAACTGCGAACGGCGTCTCGGTGCACAAGCAAACTGCAGCGATCGAAGCGGCGGTGGATGGTCTACCGCGATTCTAGCCCGTCCACGGTGGACGGGCTAGAATCGAGTGGATTCCAACTCGATGACAAGGAAGGTTGATATCGTACTAGTACTAGTAGCTTTCTAGCTAGACGTGACCAAGGACATAAAGTCCTTGCTGTGATGAACGTTAAGAAGAATGATGTGTACTCGTGCGTCGTACCGAGCTTGGAGTCGCATGCACACGTCAGAGTTCCAACGAGTTGGGTGGCAATCAAAATGGGTGGCAGTCGCCGTTGTGCTAATGATATCTTCACAATCCGCTCGCAATAAAAGCATTTTCACAATCCGCTCACAATAAAAGCAAAGACATGTGGCTGATGGGATCCAAGGGTGCCAAGCAGGATGGATGCGCTTCTGGACCCAGACCCGTACGAACGAGCCGCCACGTCAGGCCGAGGTGCACCAGATCTGGAGACTTGGCGCAGTAACTTTCCGCTCTCCGTGCTGCAATTCATCAACTAAAATATCGTGTTGCGCGTGGGATTGTTCCATTCCATGGGGCTTGTAGACCCATCAATCTTTTGATGTAGTCGTCTAACAGGAACAAATAGCGCGCTGCAACCTTCATGACCCATGCCTTGAGAGATGTTGTCAGCTACTAGTATAATAGTACAATGCAATCATGTGCTCTTCAGCTACGTCGAGAGGTTGTTCAACTGGTTGGCTTTGTGGTTTTAGGCCAGTGCGTGGACAGCAACCTTGGCCGACGTCGCGTGAGGCGAGTCGGTACCCATACGTACGCCACGGATCCGATCGCGCGGATTTTTTCGCCGGCGTAGGCAACGAACGGCTGGTTCTCGGAGCTAGCGTTAAGTTGTGTCTTGAGCTCGCTAAGCATTTCGACTTGAGCTTAGAGTACCTTGGACGATAGCGCCGTGATTCGAAGCGACGAATGCACTAATTCTCGTACAATATACGAGAATTAGTGCGCGTCATTAGTTCAGTCGAAGGCCGTGATGGAAAGAGAACGAGCGAAAAGGGAGAGTGACGTCTGGCGTAAGGGTTCATGCACAGTGTCGGGCGATAACAAAAAGTTGATAACCCCATCAACTATCTGGAGCTTCTCATTCGATCATGAGCACCGAGTGCACTACTAGTAGATGCTATACGTCAGGAACAAACGACAAGAGGGTGCTTTCAGAAAAGGACCCAAAAGAATTGCGTCAGAAAGTCTGTCTGCGCTGTGCTTTCCGCTCTGTCCTTAAGAGGCAGGCGCAGTTTCGATCCGAGCGATTGGACGCTGTCTGACTGGCCTATTATGAGCTGCGCTCGACCGATTCTTGGCGATAACATCTCGTCCGCTGCCCCGAAAACTCCCATGTGACCAAGTGGCAGGATAAAATAGAGTGTACTAGTATACCGGTACGATAGCGACCTTGGATCCGCCGAGCCGCCAAGCCACCGCTTGAGACAGCTCCACGTGACGTGTTCAAGGAATGCTCTCGTCACGGATTGGCTGCATCTGATAGACGTCCGGATTGGTCGAGAAAGGCGGCATGTGATTGGCTCTGGTCTGCGAAGGGCAATCATCGACTTTTCCTTCTTGATGAGCTCGGGCCACGACAACGACGACGCTGTACGACGCTGCCGACGCACCGGGGTCACGCTGTCCTATTGTAGACGCGTCACCGCTTCTTTGCCGCGTGCGCCAAGGGCGACGTGGCCACGGTCACCGAGACCCTCGCGCTTGGCGACGTCGACGTCAACGAGGTCGACGAAGATGGCAATGGCGCGCTCCTGCTCGCGTGTAAATACGGGCAGCTGGACGTCGCCCAGCTTCTCTTGCTTCATCCGTTTCTCGATGTGAATGCATTCAACGACGTAAGTAGAACCGCCACTTTGCACTACCACCATACTAAAGCCAAAGACTTATAGGTGGGCTATACGCCGCTGATGGAAGCCGTCGATGCGAGCCACCCCGCGCACGTGGCCGCGCTTCTCCAGCACCCGAGCATCAACGTTGAAGCGACGGCGCCGGTTCGAATCCTCACTTTGTCGCGGATATTCATATTTTATCGTGCATCCTTTACCGAGTAGGGCGGGTCCACGGCGCTCATGCTCGCCTGCATCCAAAACGAAGTCGAGATTGTCGCGCACCTGCTCGCGTACCCTGGTCTCC